CCAAGTAAGTCGAACTGTTCATATCAGTCATGGATATAAAGTGAGATATTATTAAAGTGCCAATTTACAAGGTTAGGGCAGAGAAAGAGAGAGAGAGAGTAGGCCCTGAGTGGGAACGTAGGAACTACCACGAGAGCTAGGATGGTGAACCCAAGAGTGTATTTATCTAAATTACAATGTGTACGTAACCGACAACTGTCGGCTATGAAAGTGAGATGTATATAAGTGTATATATTAGTAGACGAGAGTAGACCAAGTAAGGGGGATGTGTGTGTTAATGACTTACCCCATAGTCACACCTTCTATTTCCCCGATATCCCGTACCTCCCATGTTACCGATACCGTGAACTCACAGCTAAGAGGTAGTTAACGAGACAATTACCAAGCACTTAGCCTTACAACTGGCCATTCCCAAAAGGCGCAACAGCACGAATGGCGGAAGAGGTGGAAAGAATCCTCTACTCCCCCCTTTACGCCATAACAATAATTATGACCCGGAAAGTTCTTGTCCCTAAGTTCGAGGTAGGAACCAAAGTGTTAGTGAAGGACGAGAGCGTCCGCCGTGGCCGATCTAAGAAGTTAGAAGCTGTGTAAATAGGCCCGTATGAGAACACAACAATAGAAGGCCCGAAACTTGTACTACATACCAGGAAAGGAAAAGAAATGTAGATTCACGCGAACCGAGCTAAGATATTTTTCACGTAATTGCAGATGTGGGCGATCGTAACAGCTGTACTAATCAGTTGCCTAGGCTCGAGCGGCAGCCTCAACGTATGAAAGAGACCATTACCGAGCTCACCTGGACTGTACTACCAGCACGAAGCAGAAGCGAGACTGTACAACAGTGAATGGCAAACAGTAACATACCTCAACTTACAACAGGGCAGTGACAATGTAGAAGTGATAGGCAAATACCTAGGAGCCACAGTAGATTTTTGTAAAAACATGATAAAATATTATGGCTAAATTTGTCAGAATGTAGAACCCTGTTTCTGATACTCAAGCTGAAGGGCACGAGAAATCTGGCACACCAATTAACCAGAAAGGAAACGATTTTACTCAGGAAGAGAAGAGGGCTTTTCAGTTCTATTGGGCATATTTCAAATTCATTATTTGGGATTTTAGACTCAGAAAACGAAGAATTCTTTAATCAAAACATCTCGAATTTATAAAGGGAGCAGTCAGACCTAATAAAACTGAAGAAGGAACAGATGGTCGTTGTGAAATCTACCTTGAAGTCGGTGAACAAAACTTTAAACGCCGGAACAAAGAATGAGTTGATTTTAGAGAAGGGCTTACAGGATATTAAGAACTTCGTCAATGAGGAGAACGGTGAAATAAAACGGAAGTACACATACACTTCAATGTTGGTGATGTTAAATGACCATGCAATTCAACTGCAGAGAGCATTAGAGGGGGTTAAATATGAATATGACTTAATAATTCAGTCTTGTCTGAAGGCCAAAGGCGGAATATACAGCCACAGGTGTTGTCGCCAAGCCACTTGATTGAAACTTTGAAGTCCAGTCAGGAATCCGTTCCGCGTGACTTACAAGTTCCAGTTACACTGAGCGAAGCTTATGCCTATTTACTTGTTAATATTCTGAGTGTAGATGTTTATATTGTAAATACTACCTTGGATGTGCGAGGTCTGAAGAGAAAGAAGTGTGCCTGAGAAAAGCCTAATCAGAAGGTCCCGACTTAAAATATCAGATATCTTGAATGTAGTTTCCTTTAAATTGCCATCAAATGGCTCCTTCCGTTGACAGTCGCCATTTATCACTCGCAATCATCATACTTATCACACTTATAAACAGTGCAGTTGAAAATCATCGTCGAATAAAGCAAAGTGCGGCATTAATGCATGGCATTTCGCCATTTAAAGTGAGAGTAATCCAGGGTTCACTTAAGCCATGCCATAGCTCAGGCGGATAATGGCCGGCTTTGGGTGCCCAGTTGAGATACTGTGGGATTTGTGGAGGATAGAGTGGCACTGGCTCAGGTTGTCTCCGATTACTTCGGTTTCCCCTGCCAATTCTCATTCCACCAAAATTTTTCGTACTCATTTATCATCCAGGCTGTTACAATAGGTCGAGTAATGACCAAAATGCCAAGAAGACTCTGTCTCACCTTACCATAGGGAAGAGAAAACTGGGGTTCGAATCCCGGTACGTTATTCTTCTTTTAACACCAGCGATCAGTTTGATTAGGACATGTGACCGCAATCACCGTGTAGAGGCTTTATGAAGCGAACAGTTTGATTAGGACATGTGACCGCAATCACCTTGTAGCGGCTTTACGAACTCTCCAAAGCCTATTTGAGCTGTAGTGACCTTTTGGTTTTGAACAGACCATTGCTGGCTGTCCTGTTTCTTCTATTGTTAGAAGCCATATTTGGTACCTTGCGCCTGAATGTTGAGAGTTATGAGCCAGCAACAAAATTACACACAGACAAGCCGTAAACTTGCCTTCGGGTTGCAGACATATCATATTTTTCACACAGTCGCATTCCAGTGTTCAGAGTGCTAAATGAAATTAAACTTGTAGAAAGTAAAAATTAAGAAATTTTGATTCTCATTATACACTGTGTTCCCCCATTAACAGTAACCCGATTTCTCGCATGTCGGTGGTGCCGGATAATCTAAGTAACCCTAACACAGTTCAATTGCATGTAACAGACTACTGCGGTTAATTAAAGTTATTAGTATGTGAATCAGAGCTTTCTGTTCTGATTGCTCACGAGTGTGATAATTGAACAGTCAGGATCTAACTATGTGAAGTCACCCTCTGGCCAGTTGAACCTCCCCACCTGTAGCAGAAGCGCTGAATGAAATTCACGCAAACGCGACTCACTCCGGCCCTTATTTCATCCTTCATACAAATGACCGAAGGTCACACAGTGGCGTGGTTGGTTGGGGCATTCTGCTGATGCCGGAAAGTCGCGGATTCGTGTCTCGTTGTGGTCAGTGAATTTTTTTAATGTACCTAATAATTCCAAGGGGGTACGCGGTTCAGTAAGTATTCCTATCTGGAACTGACAACTTCCAGTCACGTAGCTCGCAGTTCCGGCATGAAGCAGTTATTGCATGTTTCTCTACATGCAAATAAGAGCGCTAGGTCTCCAATACTCGTTTATAAACTCTCAGCTCTAAAAGTATGTAGCTTACAAAGGAGGGACGACAAATTGCACGAGTGTCTGGTTTCCAGCTGAACTGCACAGTGAGATCAATACCTGAAGATATTCTTATATTGCGTCCATAAATGTGGTGTCTCAAAGCTAACTGAATGTCATTATGTGTGTCTCATGTAATTAAATGTAGGAGAGACATTGACACATTACACTAATTATCCGGACAAGTTGACAAAACATTAACAGACACTTGACATAAATGGAAATAAATGCTTGAAGCTGTCCCTGTGGCGGGCCGTGGCGGCTCATAGGGTGATAAGGCGCCGAGGCTCCCACATTTTCTGCACGGCCGGCTCACAGATGGCGGTGGTGGTTTTGAGCATTAGGCGCCGGCCACCTTTGCACCCGAAGGGATTCCTGGTGCTCGTTTCAGTTGGAGGCTGGGTTAAACCACAGGCCTGTGAGCGGCTGGAAGGATTGGGTCAGTTGAGGAATCCAGTGACCTCATCAGGGAATCGAATTTTTGGTCGGACTAGTTCGTTGCGGTATGCAGTGTTCAATATAAGCTACCAATTACGTCTATTCTCTATTGAAAAATCCCAATGACCTCATCGGGACCTTCCCGCAACCTTCCGACTTGTAGCATAGTGCCTCAGCTAACAACGTTACCACGAGAGTATACAATATAATTTAATTTTATGTTGCCTTGTCATAGTTTACTTACTCCCGTTTTCTTAAATTTTGATTTCTCGTATCACATTTGACAGTAAATATATATCTCTTAGTATTTCAGAGCTACGTTTATTTTTAATAGCTTATTATTATTACTTTGCTTTGATTTGTACTTTGTATATTTGTTTTCTTTCTTTCGCTCGTGCTCACTGTGTAACTGGTCCTGGGGCTGTTGGGTTGGCACGCAGATAAATAAGAATTTAACTGAATTATTATTGTGCACTAGTTCCTCATTTACCGATCACGGTGGTCGCGCGGTCTGGGGCGTTGGCCGTCTTCACCCGCTCGAGTGCTGGGATCGTGGGTTCTGGTCCCGCTCGGGGTATGGTTGTCTGTGTGTGTGGGTGGTGGGCTCACGGCGGGCTGGTCCCTTGTCCCAGGAGTCCGGATGAAATGTATCCAAAATAAAAATGTATATCCCGGAAACTAATTTTCATACATGTATCCGGTTTATGTCAACGGAATAAACTCACGACCGGCTTGCGCGCATGCGCCACCTGATTACCTTCCGCGAGCTCTGTATTAATCGGTAGCAATATCGACACCACAGGTACAGGTTCAATTCTTGTTGTGGCTAACAGAGTTGCAATTTCTCACAGCTGTCCAGTGCTGTTTCAGAACACAATATGGACATCAACATCCCACAGAGAAAAGCATTCGGTTCTGGGACAAAAACTGAAGACTACAGGTAGTCTGTTCCGAGTAAAATCTCCTAGAAAGACACGGACCTCTGAAGAAAATGTCAATCGCATTAAAGTGACATTTCAGCGAAGTCCGTGCAAATCAATTCTTGCTGCCAGCTTGCATTACTAATTCCACAGTCAACAGTCCAGGATGTGTTAGACAAAAGGCTTCTCCTAGGAGCGTAAGGTAAAAGTAAAGTTGTCCCTGTGCATAAGAAATTAAACACTACGCCATGAAAACGTATGGGGAGTGGATGTATAAACCCAGGTTTTCTTGACCTCGGACCGGATGCTGTTGAGGAAAGACCCTACCGGAATTTTAACTCCAACCCCTAGGTCATCCAGCCCGTATAAAGTCGCTATATCGACTAAGCTATCACGGCCCTTTCTTTGTTGGTAAACTGCAACTATTTAAAGAGTCTGGGTGAGAAAGTGAAATCTCGCCACAGGGAGACTTGACCTTGCAGACTGAACTACATTTTTCTTTAATTTGACCAATTGCCTAGAGACAGTAATGCTTGGTAAGTGACGAGTCAACTGTCATGATACTTACAAGGTAGATGTCGTTGAGCCACTTCAAAATTCCAACGAAGGTAATAAGGCCACTGATACCCTGCAACACATCAGTACAGGAGTAACACATTTAATCCTAATTGAAACTTGCCTACTGACTGAGATTCTGAAATTTACTTCTAAGAATATATGGCGATTCATTATTTACAAAATCCTGTGAATCTCTTTCTCATTCTCTCTTAGAAAACATTTCAATACACCAATTAAATAAAAATATAATGTCATGTAAAGGAACGGGAATTCCTTTACTGCTTTTCTGAAACTTACCGAGTTTTCATGAATTAGCCAAAATGTTCTCATGAACTCATCTGTCCTGCCTAAAGAAGAAAGAATAAAACGACCTCAGTATGCTACACAGATATACAATCAAATATTTCATTTTGACAATCTTTGGATCTAGTTGTTTCATTAAATCTGAGAAGAGAATAAAACGACTACAGCATGCTACACAGATATACACTTACAATCTAATTCCTGACTTGTCACCGTAATGTTAATTTGTTCCTGTTCCGAACACAACAATTTGAGTGTATGCACTCGTGGAGCAGCACCTATCCATTCATTATTACCCAGCTGGGTCCACAGCGTTTGATTCAGCCCTGTTATATTCTGAGTACAACTGCTAGGTATGCTTCCAATGGACTGAAGCAGCTAGGCTTCATGTTCTTTGTCTAAATGCTTTACAAGCACAGGGTAATTTTCTTTGCAGAGTCGATGGCTGTTGTCAGCTTACATTCCATTAAATTCGTCTACCCTTAACCTAGAGTAATACTGCTTAGCTATATAACCGTCCAGCCCTTACGTTGGGCTCCACCTCTTCACTCTGTAAGCGTTGTTACCTCACCTTCACTCCCCCCCCCCTTGTTGGTTGGTTAGTCACACGTTCGTCGCTCCTCTCCTCCTTTCTTCCTCTTCTTCTTCTTAGGTTGGGCGCCAGTAAGCTCAGGTGGTGTCGGCTTACAATAGTCTTAGATTTATTTTGGAAAGGGGGTAAAGGTGGTAGTCAACTAATTCAGCTGTGGATAGAGCTGGGATCCTTCTCAGGGCGTTTGCTAGGGCCTCGCTTAGGACGGGGAGGGAAGCAGTTGGTTCAATGCTACTTTGCACTTAAACACTGTGACCGTTTATTGAGATCAACACTTCCCTTCTCCTGATTGCACACACCGTCAATACAAAGGATGCTTATGTATAGGTCCTTATCTAGCACAGTCCTGGTATAACGGACGTTATTATTACAATTTACACTTTCTTTAGCACTCTGAATTTGGGGTTATACAGAACAGCGAAAAACACAGACTTTGTTTTTAAATTGTTCCCGAGTAGCAGGCACTTGGCCACTGTTTGTCAACTAACTTGTGACTCTTTGTCTGAAAACACTGAGGTCCCCGGGACGTCAGTTCCTTTGCTAAGTCACTCCTCCTTAATTCCACTGATTGGGTAATTTTGAGAACTGGGGTTCACACAATTTCTGGATCTCCAGTCAGCTAACTGCAATTTGGGGCTTTGACCCTTAAAGTCCTAAAGTCGTTTTTGACAGTACACTGACAGATAACCTGCTTGGCATGGGTTTCAAAACCGCATACTTTTAAGTTACGACGTGTAGGACCTGTCAGTGATCGAATTCTCAAAGTTTGCCGCCGTGCTACTCGCAAACAAAATTTCTCAGAAAAAGCCACAGTGGGTGCTTCCTGTGTAATATCAAGATTTGGAATAAGTCCATTCCTGAAGACAAGAATGTGACTCTGTCCCACTGGCTTACGTATTACTTGTCTGCAATTAACTTTTTGTTACTGATTATTCTAATTATACTTAAATTAGTGAGTGACAGTGGAGCGGTTACAGCTATATCTATTAACAAATACTGACTTTCTCACAATATACATGTAAGTTTTAACTCGGTATTTTTTATCTTAATTGGCAAGGGCAAAACAGGGTACACATTGTAACCAAATGATTTGTTAGAGGAAGACAAATGTCAAGTCAGTGGGGAAGTCAGCTTGATTTAATTTCATCTGATTCATTACTTGAGCTTGTGCAATAACATGTGGCTAGAGTATGCCCGAAGCTCTGTCTAGTTGCGCCGAATGCTCATTTACAACAAGCAGCATGGGTGAGGATGTATATAGTTTCTTTATCTTATCACCGTGTTCATTATTCGCCAGCCCTTACGATCGTACATTCTTGTTTTCAAATACGTCTTGTAATGTCTTATACATCTTAAAGTCGATTTTATGACTGTTACCTGTTCTTTGGGAAGTTAAGAAATCAGCCTCTTCCATTTCTAAATCCGAAATTTTGACTGTGTAATATGTTGTGTGTTCACTATCCAAAGTACCAGACAAGATTTTGCTAATTCCACCAATGAAGTTAAAAGGCCTCTCTTATAATGCGATTGAATAGCTTCATCTTCGATTCTGGTTAACTATTTTACAAGTAGTTTAATATTTTCTACTTCAATAATCTATTTAAATACCTGATGGTTTTCATAAAACCAGGGACTATTATAATCATTTGTGATTACGAGTTACAGTATGTATGTTACTTACTGTAAGCCCATCTAGACAAAATTTCCAGTACGGTGGTATGTGTACTTCCCATTTTGATCTGAAACAATATATGAAAAGAAATTATATAAGGGTCCAAACAGAGGTGTCCTCCCCCCACCCGAGGACGGAAACACGTCTAGTTTCCGAAAAGTTATGTTTCTAGTTAATTAATTTTTTAATTCACTTAGTGTGGGAACAACGATAACAGACTGAAACCTGATTCTGGAGGAAATTAAGAGGCGATTGAACTCGGGTAATGCTTGCTACCATTCAGTCCAGAACCTTTTGTCTTCTCGTCTGTTGTCCAAAAACTTAAAAATTAGAATATACAAAACTATAATTTTGCCTGTAGTTCTGTATGGGTGTGAAACTTGGTCTCTGACATTAAGGAAGGAACATAGACTGAGGGTGTTTGAAAACAGGGTGTTGAGAATATTTGGACCAAAGTGGGATGAAGTGACAGGAGGTTGGAGAAAACTGCATAATGAGGAGCTTCATAACTTGTACTCTTCTCCAAGTATAATTAGAATGATCAAGTCAAGGAGGATGAGGTGGGCAGGTCATGTAGCACGAATGGGGGAGACGAATGCTTATAGGATATTGGTGGGTATTCCAGAAGGAAAGAGACCACTGGGAAGACCAAGGCGTAGGTGGGTGGACAATATTAGAATGGATCTTAGAGAAATAGGATGGGATGGTGTGGATTGGGTAGATTAGGCTCAGGATAGGGACCAGTGGAGGGCTCTTGTGAACATATTAGAGTCAATTTTACCGACCACACAACATATTTTATTATTACACTACATGTTTCGACCTCAAGAGGTCATCCTCAGGTGTACGAACACATCTGTATAATTACATGCAATCACATATGTCTTCTCACTTATTCGATCCTGTATCTTATTCAGGCCCACGCTCAATAATATATCAAGCTCCTCTCACAAAACAAAAGTTAAAATATTATTCTAAATGTCAAAAGTTAAAAATTAAAATTAAAATTTGTGAATCGAATGGTCATCACGACAAGGACCGTAACAGATCCAGCAACATCAGAGGACTCAGAGAAACAGCGAAACTTCCAAAAAGTGAAAGTGCAATCAATATAATAAAATTGAACTTTAATTCACAAACTTTTAACCTATAATATAATTAAACTAGTTAAAGTGAACTTGACGCAGTGATTAGCGTAAGTAAGAAGTGACTGAATAACAAGTGAAAGTGAAAGCATGACTAGTGATCTGAATTGAAATTCGATTCACAAATTTTAAATTTTAATTTTATATTTTAACTTTTGACATTTAGAATAATATTATAACTTATGTTTTGTGAGAGGAGCTTGATAGATTATTGAGCTTGAGCCTGAATAAGATACAGGATCGAATAAGTGAGAAGACATACGTGATTGCATGTAATTATACAGGTGTGTTCGTACACCTGAGGATGACCACTTGAGGTCGAAACTTGTTGTGTAATAATAATAAAATATGTTGTGTGGTCGGTAAAATTGACTCTTGAACCGTGTAACGGTTCTTCTCCGTGAAGTTCTTTGGAGTCCCCCCCCAACGAAACGCCGGATGCGAGCCGTTTCCCGTCTTTCCTGTGAAAGTCTTTGACTGACGTCAGGTCAGCTGACCCTTTATCCCCCCCCCCCTCCAGGACGTATTCCGCGGTTTCCTGCGTAGTACAAGTGAATGTATCTGCCTCTCTTCCCGTTGGCCTTCCCGTGGAAACATTGCTGCTTCTAAATTTGGTTTCGGAAAGTGGAATTGATTCGGTTAGAAATTTGGTTTCGGCCCGCAGCACGGATTGAAGGGGGAAGAGTGCCCTCACGACATGGTCAAGGGTGGATCAGTCGTGAGGTAAATCTTTCAGTTTGTAAATTCAGGATTACAAGTGACTTGCTGAAGTAATCACTTTCCTTCGATTATGAACGCCGTGTGGCGTAGGATAATTTGGTTTTGTTTAAGGTTGTGCTAAACAGCAGATCGCCCCTCAGGCGTGTATGTAAGCTGTTTATATTTCCTTGTGCCCTCAAGGCTTGCCTAAGTACATGCTTATACTGCAGAAGTTGGAAGACGCCATGAGGCGTGCCTGACTTGAGTTCTGTGCGGCTAGGCACAGCGTAGTTCTGCTTAACTCATTTATCACATGTTCTGACCGGTTACTGCCTTTCAGGCGGGCCCATCTGTATACATATGCTATTAATACATATTTATTTATATGTGTGAGGACGCCAATTGTGTTTATGTGTACTTGTGCCGTATGTTCCATACCAGCTTCTGACTAGCGGATCCGTCCGGCCTGGCCCATCGTCCCGACTGTGGTTTTCCTCCCCCGAGATCCCTTACACCATCTTAGGGAGGCATAGTGCATCACGCCACAAGCAAGTCGTTTTTTATGAGCCTGTCCCTTACCCATAATGAGCAGGGGTTCACGGGTCAAAGTGGGTATAAGAACGGGGTTCTTTACCCACGGGGTCGATGGACACGGCCCAAAGTGGTAGCAGAACGGGCTTCTCGACCCACACGGGGAAGGATACAGCTCACTCTAATATTTATTAAATACACAACAGGATGCAAGACACAATTAACCTCTTGTGAACATGGTAATGAACCTTCGGGTTCCATAAAATGCTGGGAAATTCTTGAGTAGATGCAGAATTGGCGGCTCCTCTTGAAGGGCTCAGCTCCATGAGTAAGTAAGTAAGTAAGTAAGTAAGCGTGGGGATGGAGTCCTAATTGGGTCTCCTCGGCACTGCGGCCACTGATTGTCCTATTGTACCTGCCCCAGGTGATTATGATGATGGAGAAATTGCTGGAATGAAGGTGTTTCTAGTTACTAGAATACTGGAAGATGGACAAAGTCCAAAAACCCAATAATTGTCAGCAGATGAGTGTTTATGCCATCTCCATATGAAGGGCAACATCAGTAAGATATGGCATCCAAATTATTGTGGGGTGGTGCAAAGGCGAAGATAGGAAAAGATCCTGTATTACGTACAACACGTGGGACACCATAACCTTCACGATAAATTTAATAACAATAGAGTAATGATGGCCGATTTCCAGTCACCGGAAACTTGCTTAAAAGTAGTAGGTTTTCACCTAAGGCTTTTCCGTAAGAAAAAATGGATATCTCTCAATGGTTGGACAAGAAATTAAATGACCATGTTATGATAGATGCAAGATAAGCAAGGAGCCTTATCGATGTGCGATCCTATAGAGGTGCCGAATGTAACTCGGATCACTTCATGGTAAAACTACAATATCAATAGTCAACAGAACCAATACCAAGTACATGCAAGGTTATTTCTCTCATACCAATATCTTATATGAATTCTCTTCTCTCCCATTTGTACTACATGCCCTGGCCATGTCATCCTCCTTGCCCTGATCATTCTAATAAAATTTGTTGAAGAGTACAGTTATGGAACTCCTCATTATGCAGTTTTCACCTGCCTCTTGTCACTTCATCTCTCTTCCATCCAAATATTCTCCTCAGCACCTTGTTCTAAAACACCCTGACTCTATGACCAAGTTTCCCACCCATAAAGAACCACAGAAAAATTATAAGTTTTTTGTATTCTAATTTTTATGGTTTTAGACAGAAGACAAGAAACCAAAGGGACATATATAAGAATAATCAACATTCACACAACATCCATGAACTAAACGAAACTCGAATATATCCACGAACCTGAAGACTGCGTTAATAGGTCCCACAAGAAGATTGGAATCAACGTCTTTACTATATTCAATAGGATGACCTATTATAATTTGAATTCTAGTTGCAATTTTAATTTTAGGTTGTGGCAGACTGTACAGTGCAACAGTTTTAGCATAGCGAACATGACGGCCATGCACGGCCAAAACATATCATGAATAGAGAATTAAAGGTATTGTATTAGTGACGGAAATGTACAATATATAAAATAAGCACTATATTGGTGCAACGGGATACTTAAATAAAATATAAATTTATTATGGTCACAGGCTTGCTAACCAAATCCTTGAAAACAACGCTGTAGTTTTCAGAACGCATACGCAAATGGGAGGGGAAGAATAAAACGTGCACTTGATGGGATATATTAGCCAGAAGAAGAGTGTTAACCCAGTTGATTTGCTTGGCGCTTGAATAGCTCCAAAGCGACGGAAACAAGTTCCTTAGAAACGGAAAACCTGTATTTCTGCTCCAGGATTTCATCACATTCCACAAGGCTTTCATTTAATTTTTTTTGCAATATTTTCTGAAATACTACTGCAAGCCAAAGAACTTTTTGAAATCTATATAAATAAAAACGTAACTGTTGGTTTGGCTCTCCTCGAAGATCTCTGAAAGTTCTTCACCGATTGCTTCGAAATTTTGACAGAACATTGCATTCGAATAAGCGCGTGTTTCTATATACCTGTTATGTAGATGTCACACACGTGACAGGTAAAAACAGGTAAAAGTATTAATTGTATTCAATATTAATATACTGTAACGTGTTATACGTCGTCCATGGAATACCAATAGATCGTTGCCTAGGAATAACCGTGGCAACGAACTGTCGAAACAGAGCGTTGCCTTGGAATAACCGTGGCAACGAACTGTTGAAACAGCGGAAATAATGCATTTCTGCGGCAACGAACACAGAACACGTGAGTGGAACCCTGGGCGAAAGTGCCCTCTATTGCGTCCGAAACCGGGTTATAATAGTCCAGCTCCGAAGAATTTTTCGGTGATACTGGATGTGATAATAATTGTACTCGCTGGTGTGGGGGTGAGCGTTCAATAACCTATTCGCTGAATCCGAGACGTGCCTGGAAGTTATTTCGTTGGTATGGTTATTTTTCGTTGTTTTTCATTTCGTTTTTTTTAACTGTTCTTATATTTCGGTGAAATTGGCGGTGGGATTGAGCTGTGTGCGTTAATCTGCGTTTCATTTGTTATATTTCGTCTGTATTTTTAATTTTTTATTCTTTTTTTCCGGTTCGTGTTCTTTCCTTTTTATTGTTTTGCAACTTCATATGTTTTTGTCATAACTTTCTTTCTTCTTCCTCAGTGCAACCGTTCTGCTTTAATTCATCCAAATAATGCCTCGCAGAAGGACAAGCTTAGGTCGTCGTACTCGCGGAGCTGGAGCATTGCGTCTGGTAATTTCAAATCAAAGTGGAAAGAACGGGCAGACTGAGCCACAGCAAGGCGTGGCTGGGCACAGCTAGTTATTTAAATAAAAGTAACAGTGTCTGTTACTGTTCGAAAAAGTGAAAGAATTTTATAATTATCTGAAGGATTGCAACTATTTAGGGAGGTTTGGTCCGAAAGGGAAACCTGCTCACAAGGAGGTAAAGAACTCTAAATTTTCGACGAAGAGACTGCGAATGATAATCGAGAAACCTGTTGTCGTCAACTGTGATGTGAATTAGTTGAACCTATGAAGGGACAGTTACAAAGTGATTCTTCAAAATACTAGATGTAAAGTTCACTCAGTTATGTACTTCTGAAATTTTAAATACCGTTATGTAACTTTTCTAGCTATTGCTTATTAGTCGTTGAAATTATAGAGAAGTTGTTTAAATTTTATTCATCCGAAAACTCAGCCATCTTTCATTAATTGATCTGAAGAATATTTATATTGTAGTACGAGTATGTGGGGTCTGTTCAAATTGGAGTACAAATTTGCTAGAAGCCTCAAAGTTACTCGTATTTGTTTTTAACCATTCCAGCAACGGGTGATTCTCTCGAACAACAATTTTCTGCTCTAAAAAGATTACATAGTTAACCAACGCAGCACACAGATTCAGGGGAGATCCTAAAGTCACCATTTATGACTCCTGAGAACAACACTATTTAAGACTTAGGTAAGAGTCCGAACATTTATGATTCGGCAATAGGTATTTTCACTAAAAAGGAAATAGTTGCATGGTACACAAGTGCAAGCTTAGTTCAATGGTCACAAAGCTTTCGTAGCCTATTTCCTTATTTCTAAATGAGGCTTTCGAGATAAGTTGATATACCAGTATAGTATCCAACAATAACCTAAGCATATATGTGACATGTCGCCTGAACACCGAATAACGCAGTGCACAGTAGTCAGTTGTCGTCTCTACATAACTTGGAGATATACAGCAGAGAATACACGGCCTCCAAGCTCCTGTTTTGTGAGCCTGCTTTCGGAATATGTTTATATGTATCCATCCTCAACGTTGCTAAGCAAAGGATTGATAAACACATTCACGCAACAAGGAATACACACCTAACCATGTAAGAATTTATGATGCATCATTTTCTATCAGAAGAAATTAGACGATTAGTTCTTCCCAGAACTTTTTCTTAGTTTACATTTCCTCCATTGTATTCATTAACTTAAATTTAGATCAACTGTGCACAGATGTCTTGTAGGATGTGTACACTTAATTTTCAAGATGTTCACTACCTCCCTCTGCCTGGGGATTTCCCCGAAACTTTTACAAACCTCATGCTCAGTCACCGATTTATATGTACTGCCGCCAGCCGTAACTTTCGCAGATCACTCCACGACTCTTCCACTATTGCCAACTGCGTACTGTCCATACTGTTGACCCCTACCTCTCCAGCGGCACGTAGCGGTAACGTACCGCTCGCGTAATAGGCGAATCATCACCCCGCCACTCTCCCCTCGGTGACGTCACGAGCGGAGCCGAAGTTAGCCGAAAACCCGCATCCTTGTAGCTATGCAACACGCGGTTACGCCACGGTGACGCGGAACCGCTTCCTACTGTGACGTGGAACGCAACAGGCACCACTGCGGCTATATAAGGGAACTGCACAGCAGCTACTAGTCAGTTGTACCGTAACAGTCGCCGAGTCGAGTTGTAACGTAGCAGTCTCCGATTTAGTTCCGAGCAAGCCGACGAGTCAGTGTGTTATCAACAGTTCTCCAGTGAGCAGACTACAGTTGGAGTATAGCAGCCGTCGCGGAAAGAAGAACCGGACGTGTGTGTAGTTGTGTAATTGGGAGTGTGTGTGATACAGTGATACACAGCTCCCTTACTGTAAACGTGTAGACCACTGAAGACAGAGTGAACTGATTTGCGCATAGGGTTATAAATCGTGAAACCCCGCAACAGTGTTAACAGATTAATGCGATTAGGGTTATAAAGTGTGAAACCCCGCAACTGTGTGATAAGTAATTGTAGCTGTTACTTGTAGATTGTTGAATAAACCAATCAACAATCCGTACGGCGTCTTCAGTAACGAAACACGTTACAATATGTACTGCCGCCAGCCGTAACTTTCGCAGAGCACTCCACGACTCTTCCACTATTGCAAACTGCATACTGTCCAAAGTTAAGTAATAGGTGAATGACGAACTGCAGAGGATTCGGAAGGAGACGGTGATATCTGAGCTACCATCCCGGAATTTTCATTGATGGTCTGAGCAATATGAGTCAGACAGCTACACTCTCAGTTGGGATTCAAACCCAACACTTCCGAGAACACGAGTCTAGTACTCAGTTTGTTCTGTTACAAAGCTACATTATTTCTGGCTTTTACTGTGACATGTCCGGTTTAAATTTTGGCCGGGACATTGACTATACTGACAGGAATTTCTGGCTTTGCTGCCACAGTTCAAGAAAATGACGGAATAGACAAAAAAATCAGTCCATGGCAACTTCCTTTCACTTCCTGTCAAATTCATGATTCACTGATCGTGTCCACAGCAGCTTCCTTTCTCTTGTTGTCAAATTCATTGTTCATTAAGACTGTTACCATTTGGCGCTATCAGTCCACAGTAGCTTCCTTTAGCTTGCTGTCAAATTCATGATTCTCTAATCGTGTTACCGTTCTGCGCTATACAGTCTGAGTTGCTGACATCTGCAGGAAGGGACAACAAAAAAGTAAATAAAATGAATGGAGGTACGTGTCCAGGGGCCGCCTTACACCATTATTAGGAACCACCAGTACGGACCGGACAGGAGGATGGTTGGCCCTCATGGACGGACTTCATGGTGTGAACAATAGAATAATCCCTGATCTCACACTAGTTCGAGGAAACGCCAGTATGGACGGGACAGGATAAGTGGTCATCATGGCCGGTATTCGCGGTGTGGATAATAGAATAACCCCTGACCTCACACCAGTTCGAGGAATCACCAGTACGGACTGGACAGGAGGATAAGTGATCATCATGGCCGGTCTTCGCAGTGTGGATAATAGAATGATCCCTGACCTCACACCACTTCGAGGAATCATTAATATGGACCTTACACAAGGCTGGGTTGCCCTCATTGACGGACTTTACGGTGTGGATAATAAAATAATCCCTCTCCTTGCAAGGAAATAAACAGAAATATTTCTTTAATTTGGCCATTGCCTAGAGATAGTGGTGATTTGTAAATGGAGAGTCAGCTGTCAAGAGACTTACCGGTAATACAGCTAGGAAAAATATGATCAAAGAACGGAGAGTTCTGTGTCTGATGAATCTTTCCTGCAACATATATCAGAAAGTTTTGTTTAATTCGACCCATTGCCTAGAGAGAGTGATTTTCGGTAAATGCAGAGTTGGCTGTCAAGAAACTTACCGTTAATACAGCTAGGAAAAATATGATCAAAAAATGAGGAACTGTGTGACTGATGTATCCTTCCTGCAACAAATATCAGAAAGTTTTGTTTAATTCGTTCCATTGCCTAGAGACAGTGTTACTTGGTAAGTGAAGAGTCAGCTATCAGGAAACTTACCATTAAACAGTGAAGGAAATATATAGCCGTAATGGCCACAGCGACCACCACACACCGAGGACATCTTTCCTGAAACACACATCAACACAAGAGTCATATGAGCTTTAATTCTAATTTCAACTCGCCTACTGATTACGTAATTGAGTTTCTGAAAATTACCTCTCTGAATATATGGCAGTTTATTATATTCAAAATCTTGTCGAGGAAATCAGAATGAATCTCTCTCTTTGTCTTTCAGAAAACATTTCAATCCATCATTTCGATTTAATTATAACTGCTTGTTAAGCAGCAGTGTACAGGCTAACTGCAGGTTACGCATAAATTGTTGCTTCTCTGAAACTTACCTTGATCACATTCCGTAGAAATACCAGGACTGAAAAAGAAAATAAAACGACATGAGTATGTTACATAGATGCACATTCACACTCCGAATATCTGACTTATTACCTTATTATGAATTTATTCCTTTTAGAAATACAAGGCAAGCTCAGCTCACCTCAGTGCCACTTTGCCCATCACATATGTGACAAGACATCTAGGATGGAACCCAGTGCGACGCAGTAGGTGAGCTGAATAACCACCTGAGCTATGTTTAGGCCTATTGTAACCCATACTTAATATCAAATTATGTATGCTAATAACTGTGGATACTTTGTGTTGAATCCTAGAATTCTAGTATAATCAGTGAACATTCATCTACTGACAGTCTCACTGGTGAAAAGGGATGTTGCATCTGTGGGTTATGAATCACACATTAAAAGAGACGCAAAATTTTACACTCATTGTTTGGGAACTTGAGTTGGGGAATAAAAGATTTTGTAGCTAGAACTGAACTTGAATGAACTAGCAAAGGAAGAGATTGTAAGCTGTTAGGCCGGCAGTGAAATCAATTCACAGCTTGACGTGTGCAAGAGCGAAGTGATCTTGGTAAGGATTTACAACATGTCCTGTCAGCATAATGACGTTGAATGTATGTCGAAATGCTAACGCTACAAAATCTACACTTGAGAGCTGGGGGAATATTTGGAGGTAAAAAGGCTTAGCCAAGTGGGATAGCCGTAAGGTTGCGTGTCCACCCCTAAGGATCCCAGCCAAAGAGAACCAGCCACTTGGGACAAGACGTCATTATAGGCGGACTTGCGCCCTCCGGGAAAGTAATGAGTTAGCTAAAATAAAGGTATATAACCATGGGAGTAAATTAGTATCGGGATTATTCAAACAGTAATTTTGGGCAGTTTTCGCCGGAGGCTATGCTGGAAGAAGCACCGACTAAGTGCCGGGCCACGCCATCCGTCTGTAGTTTCAACGCAAAGTAAGTGGAACTACTCTTATCGCCATGCTTAACAAATGTGATATTATTAAAGTGTAACTTCTCCAATGGGACATGAGTAGGAACGTTACGAAAAGTGTACAGGGCGTAAGAGTGACTCAACGGAGTGATGCAGAGGTAGACATGTGTAACCTTTAAGTGACGGCCCTTTAAATTCCGGTAATGGCAGCGGGACGGATTTGATTTAAATACCCGCAATTTAAGCAATAAAAACTGTAATCATTTCCTAAAATTGCTGTGATTTCTACAATTTTTGTGATAAACGAACCAAATAAACGCTGTTTTTTCTAGAAAGAATATAGAATCAGATATTGTAATTTACAGACTTTATAAAATGTGTAAAAATTTTTAGACTGATTCCAAGTAAATAATTCCCAAATTTGTCGTCTGTCTACAAGAATTCAGAGTTCTTGGAACGAAGAATGCTGTATGTAGATGTTGAAACACAGCGGATGGTTTAGCCATGTTTAGTCTTGCATGTCTCGAAAGATTATACACGTACGTCATTTCGGTATGCAGAGATGTGGTTTGAGTATCTATTCGTATACAAGAACCCTGATTGTTTATTATCGCTTGTCGCAACACAACAAGCTCTCTGTTCTCACTCTGCTGGAAGTAGATTATAAGTACTTTCATGGTTAGCATCCTAATACCACAGCCAAGCAGTATCAAAAGCGTGAACCAACCATTGCGCTGTCTCGTTTGTAAGACGCTGACATATTTCAACTCATAAACGACTCCGAATCAGATTGTTGTACATTCAATTCTGAGAGTGGCGTTGAGGAAAGTGAATCAGAAATTGATTTCGACGAAGACCCAGCATCTTGGTCGGCAACCTGGGGACCACCACACCAGCATGGCAAGAGGAGTGTGAATAATTATTCAGGTGGAGCTGTGGCAAACTGTGGCAAACAGTTATAGCATCTGTCGTCGAACCTGGAAATGGACAAATAAACTATTTTTCCATCTCCTGGATCTGAACAGTTACATCCTGTTGTCACACAGAGAATTTCGTCTTGCTCTTGTGCGGAACATGCTGAAAGGGGTCCACTTCGCACTCAAAGGACCAGGGTTCGAACCCCTGCCGTTTCATTGGAGATATCTCGATTAGAGGAGGTAAACCACATCACTGGCTGTTGATTTCGACGAAGAACCATTGTCTTCGTCGGCAACCTGGGGACCACCACACCAGCATGTCAAGAGTAGTATGAATAATTATTCAGGTGAAGCTGTGGGCAAACTGTGGTAAACAGTTATAGCATCTGTTGTCGAACCTGAAAATGGACAAATAAACTATTTTTCCGTCTCTGGATCTGAACAGTTACATCCTGTTGTCACACAGAGAATTTCGTCTCGCTCTTGTGCGGAACATGCTGGAAGGGGTCCACCTCGCCATCAACGGCCCAGGGGTCGAAACCCTGCCGTTTTATCGGAGATATCTCGATTATAGGAGGCCAAACCACATCACTGGCCGACTTCCTCTACTTCGCAATTGAGGTGTTGTGTGTGCTTTTCGCGTGGGAAACGAAGAACCGTCTAGACAAAGTGCGTGAAGTGTGACGCAGGACTTTGGATTTCCGGATATTTCCAAGATTTCCACACGAAGCCAACATTCCGTTAGAGGACGCAGGTGGGAAGAGAGACAACTTATAAAGCTGGTGACTAAAAATCATGTAAGTAGAAAAAGAATTTATAACTTAAAATTAGATTTTAAAAAGCCGGCCGCACGCGTGGACTGCGCGACGACATATGGCGTCATTCGTCCCCTTGACTTTATTTTCATGACGCCATATGGTGTCGCTCGGCTCTTAAAAGGTAATATAGAGACTGCAGGCGGGGTGTCTAGCTGCAGGGATGTGTAAAGATATAAATATATAGTGGATGAGTAGAAAAAAAAGAGGCTAGCGACCAGCAACTGGGTGAAAGGAAGGCTAAGATGAGGTCCAAGAATCGTCTAAGAAAGTGCTATGGTAATCCGACACCAGTCGGCTCTTTGTGATATTGCTAAAATGTATATAAGTGTATATTGATTGTATATACGAATATAGGGTAGCATAGGGTGAGGATGTGGGTTTCTGTTGTTGTGATTTCCTCCTTTAACACATTTCGCACCTGCGCCCTTCTGACAAGCCCTGCGAACAGTTTGCCCCTAGCCAATGAAGCAACGATGGAGGAAGTAATCTAGTGGTTTCCTTAGCGCCCCCTGTTACTGCAGTACAGCATATATATATATATATATACATACATACATACACATATCTGGACTTGTAATATTAAATGACCATTTTAAATATAGGAGATTTTAAAGAAAGAAAATACTGTTAACAATCTCGTGTGTTGGTGACTAGACACGGGATTTAGATTGGTAATTGATTAACCATAAACAACTCTAACACTAATTTACACACACTACAAATAACCACGGTACACACTAAGTCTTCTCAGTTTGTTTTAGTCCTCACTGGACGTAGATAGGTTACGGCTGCTAACTGCTAATTGATAAGAGAAATCCATGTAGAACCTCTACTAGACAAAAGAGGCCACCAGTAATTAGGAATGACGTTTTCTATGGTAAATTCACCTACGGACAATAGGAATTCAATTCAACATTTCTACAAATCTCAACATTTATAAAGAGTGTAAACCACCTGTGAGAGGTGATCACCTTAACATCATTCCTGTCTGTATGATAACACGTCTGACTTTAGCATTTTTCATCAGAACATTAGAGGATTGAGAAATAAAATCTGTGAGTTATGAAGTGCATTATATCCTGATTGCCCACATGTTATCTGCTTAACAGAATATCATCTGAATTCTCTTGAGATCGAAAATTGTAATTGTTGTCCCGCAAACTTTGTGTACATGTGGATATAGTTTTATATTAATTAAGAATAAAAATTTGTAAAAAGTAAGGTTAAAAATAGAATAATGAACTGTACAAGGAAGTAGGATTTGCAAAGAAATGTAAGTTAGACCAGTTAGGCAATAGCACTCTAACTAGAATGTTACAGTGTCAGCTTAATATTACTGACGATAAAGAAGCCTTAGACGAAAGTGGAGCAGAAAGGCACTGGAACAATAAAGAAATCGTTGAGTTGAAAAGGGCTTTAGACTAGGGAACGCAAACCCTCTTTCGACAGGCAGCCAATGAGAGCTAGCCACCGGAACCAAAATCGCATCATAATCGGCGGAGGCGTACCCTAACAGGAAGTCAGCGAGTTAGCAAAGGTGGAAAATAAAAGCACAAGGAAGGAACTATTTTGGGGCTTACTATCGTTATAGATTGTGGCCGAAGGCTATCTCCGAGATGACGCAGAGAGGATGTTGGTTGGTGGTGTGCGCCAGAATCTTCATCACAAATAAATGGAAACTACTCCTATAGCCATGAACTATAAGTATGATATTGTGACGTGTTGCGATATGGATAACGCCCCTCCCCCCGCCAGACAAAGTTAGCCGAGTCCCAGCATACTGGTCGCTATGCAACGCGAGTCAACAGCGGTGACGTAACACGGGACATCGCAGTTGCTACACAGCAGTAAACAACTTCCGACAGCGTTGCTAGCAACACGGCGCCAGGCAACCGTGGTGCCTACTACGTGGCTGTTTTCTGTGTTGTCCGCAACTGGGCTAAATAACGAGCAGCGAAAGCTATTCACAGCTTGTTCCGAGTTATCAAGCAGTTAGTTACGAGTTCTCAAGTTCTCGAGTTACGAGTTACGAGATAGCCAGGCAGTCAATCTTTCAGTTGTATTCTGGCATTTGCCGTCTAGTGTTTGTGACACTGCAGATGGCAGTAATTGTGAATCTGTAAATTGTGTGATTGTAAGAGCGAATGTGAAATAAAATTCGCTATATGCAATACGGCGTGAAGTTATTTGTCGCGTTATATACCCAACACGTGACAATATTATTAAAGTGTGAACCCCAGGGAGCTAGGAATAAATACTAGATGGACCAGGCTTAGGAAGGAAAGAAAGAGAGAGGTATAGGAACTCGGAAGCGGGTGAATTGAGTGTAACTACGCCGTAATGGAGCATTAAAAATTTAAGCGTAATGTAAACCGACAGACGTCGGCAGTAATTGTATGTATATATGTAGATAGAGTTAGAAGAATAGAATAAAATAGAGAGAAATGTGATGTAACGTCAATGGACCTCTCATCCCTCACTTGCACACACCTTCCCTTAGAGTTTCTTGCAACCCCTTGAGCTTCTCAGGAGAACAGCTGACTCGAGCCAAAGTGGCAGTTGTTTCAGTGTTTAACGAATTTACATAGCCCCCCTCCACTTACGGCAGTACAATAATATTGACCATTACAAAATGGGTGCTATGTATTGCAGGAAAAAATTTAGAAAGGGTTGAGTTGGGATTTTTGTTCACAATTCTATTAACTATTCCTGTGTTAACTTGGACAAATTTTGTGTAAAACGAGATATTGAATTATGTGCAATAAAAATACTATCAACCTATATAATAGTTGTATATAGGGCTAAATCCGGAAATTTTATTCAGTTTTTAAACAACATAGATATAGCATTAAAACCTTCATTAAACCATAATGCGAAAATTATTGTGTGTGGTGACATCAATATTAATTACCTAAAGGAATCTCATAAAAAAAACAACTTGACGTTATCATGTCATCATACAGTCTTGTTCCTATCGTAGACTTCCCAACTAGAAGTTATAATAGTACGAAGTCGCTGATTGATAACATCTTTATTGATCCATCGCAATATAAGAATCACTCGGTCTATCCTATATTTAATGGTTTATCGGATCATGACGCTCAACAGTTAATTATTAAGAATACCGGTATGCATCACCATAAAGAGAAAATTATAACTAGAAGGAATATCAATAATCATACCCTGTTAAATTTCAAAATGAATTTAAGTTATGAGACATGGGACCAGACATTTAACAGTGATGATGTTGATACTGGGTATAATTCATTTCTGAACACTTTTTTAAGAGTTTTCTATGCCAGCTTTCCATTAAAAATAGTAACAAATAATAGGACAAAAATAATAACTGGATAACTTCAGGCATAAAAGTATCTTGTCAACACAAAAGGGAACTTTATCTACTTTACAAAAACAATAATAAGTATAAAATAAAAAAGCANGGCATTACAAATTGTATTCCTGAATATTATTTGATGTAATAAAAGCAGCTTAAAAGCTTCACTATGATAGATTAATAAAAAAGTCAAGTAATAAAATGAAAACTACATGGAATATTGTTAAATCTATAACTGACAAGAAAACTGATAGCAATGTAATTCAATCTATAGATACTGGTAAAGCAATAACATCAAAGAACCAACAAGATATAGCCGATGCCTTTCAGAATTATTTTCTCTCTATAGCTGATAAAATAAAGACCAACATCAATAGTAAAGATAACTACGATAATGAATGTATGAATTACCTATTTAGAGTCTTTAAGAGTCCTTTTCCGAACTTAATATTTGACCTACATCGATTAAGGAGATTGCTAAAATTATTAAAGCCCTTAGACCTAAAAACTCATCCGGATATGATGAAATTTCTCTGCCCCACTCAATCATATCTGCAATAGATCAATTTTATCTGGAAATTTTCCTTCACGAAAGAAATATTCTATAG